CCAGCTCATTCTGCATGTTTAACTAAGATAGTGTTTAAGAAGGTGGTCTAGATGCACTTTTTTTGCAGGTATCTGTTCAATTTTCCCAACACCATTTATTGAATGAACTGTTTTTACCCCATTGTATATTCTTGCTTTTTTTTTGTTAAATATTAATAGTCTATATCCTCAAATTGCTTATTATCTACTGCAAAATGAGAACCTTATATAAATAATCAATGTGCAAGATGGAATGTAATACAGATAAAATCCTATATAATAAAAGCCTTAAGGGCATAACAACCGCAAGGACCAGATGCTCAACCCAGGAGGAAGGGGAGGGGGGCGCAGTGAGGCCTGGAGGCTCATGCTATGGCCCAGGGATGCCAGGAGCCGCAAGCCCAGAGCTTGCTTTCCAATAAAAAAAAAAAAATAAAAAAAAATAAAATAAAACAGCCAACACTGCTACCCTGGGAAGAATGGTTCCAGGAGTAAAAAGCCTCCCCAGGCCCCACCTGGCCTGGCTGATGCCCTGCAGCTTGCAGGGACTCACAAGTGATGTGCAGCTACTCCCAGCTACTGGCTTCCTACTTGCCCCTTCCTAGACTAGTGCACTTGGGGGCATGGCTTAGGCCTCCCTGACCAATAGCACCAAGTCAGCTCTGGCTTCCAGCTTCTGGCTTCCTGCCCGCCCCTTTGCATACTATGTGCACTTGGGGTGTGGCTTCGCCTCCCCACCCCCCAGCCAATAGCATCACAGCACAGCCAGAGAGTGGCAGGACACAGCCACCAGTGCTGGCTGGACATTGATTTGGCTGTGTGACTGACATCCATGTGCAGTTACACTGCATGTTTATACAGTGGGACCTTGACTTACGAGTTTAATTCGTTCCGTGACGGAGCTCATAAATCAAATTACTCATATGTCAAATCACTGTGACGTTGGCTGCGCCAACTAGTGGTGGGGTATCTGAAGCTGGCTCGTAACCCGAATTTTTTTGAGCTTGCAACTCAAAGCAAAAAATTGGCCAAGAGATAGCTCATATCTCAAAAAAACTCATTAGTCGGGACACTCGTAAGTCAAGGCCCCACTGTATTTGTAGGGAAGCAGGGCTGCCCGCTCCTACCTCCTGCTTCACTGTCTAGGCTTAGAAAGGCCTGCTGATCTCCATGTTTCTCCTCCCATCTGGAATCAAAACCTCTTGGGGTAGAATGATTCCAGCAATGACCCCAACACATGCTTGGTGTCACTGTCACAGATGTTCTCAGTCATTACAGCCCATTCCTTGGCCGGCCCACAGTGCCCTGCTCCACCCACTGCCACTCCTCACCTGTCACCCCCTGAGGACCACCTTATGTTATCCTATCTGAAATGTGAACAAGATCTCAAATGCCCCCTGTCAATAGCTCCCTTGCCCTACTTTTCTTCCTCTAAAAACCTTGCATTTTAAAAAATATATATTTCATTGATTTTGGAGAGGGAAATAGAGATAGAAATATCAATGATGATAGAGAATCATTGATTGGCTGCCTCCTGCACATTCCAAACTGGGGATCGAAACCTTCCTTGACCCCTCCCCCATCCTTCCCCCAGCCAGCAGGCCCCTGGTGGCAGTGCAACACTGAAGGAAGGAGTGGGGGTGGTGGGGAACCGTGGAGTGGTGGGGTGCGGAGGGCAGCATCACATCTGGTGTCTGTTCCTTCTGCACCTGGCCCGGCCACCATCACCTCCTCTCCTGACCCCGCTGGGCCCTTTGGGCCCTGATCAGCCTGGTCCTGATCGGCCCTGATCGCCTGCCACACCTAGGGACCCCACCCGTGCACGAATTTTGTGCACCCAGCCTCTAGTACATGTATAAACCAAGCATGATGGGGACCCAAAGGAGAAAGCCATTATGTGTTTTGTAGGGAAAGATGGGATGGGGGGGGGCTGTCAAATAATTTTGATCAGATTAAGCTTTGCATTTGCACATCCATGTTTAACCAATATCTTTATAATAAGTACTAGAGGCCTAGTGCATGAAATTCATACACGGGTAGGGTCCCTAGGCCTGGCCGGCGATCAGGGCCAATTGGGGCCTTCAGGCTGCTGGCTGGGGCCTTCCTTCATTCCTCACTGCCCCCTGGTGGTTAGCACATGTCATAGCGAGCGGTCGAACTCCCAATCAGTTGAACTCCCAAGGGGACAATTAGCCTTTTATTATCTAGGATTAGCATGCTTATTGGACTATTTTCATTTACCAAACTAATAAACATTATTCTTGTGGTTTCTATTACTATTTCTGGTAAGAAATCACAATTAAATTCACATTTTTGCATGCTTCCAATTAAAGTGTCAAAGGAGGGTAAACATGGAAATTTATAAAAGCAATTTATATCTAATTGTTCTAAGGACCTTAGGGAACTATCTACCGTCCCTACATTATCTGGAAGAATGCCTACTTCTTAAAAAATACCACAGTAGCACAATGAAAAATGTCTTGTATGAAGCCGATCTGATGGAGTATAGCCCAGAATGATAATGGTAGGTGGTGGTCTCAGTATAATTACATCAGGGCATGAATTGCCTAGAAAATTTTGTTAACCAAGCTGCTGCCAACAACTCATTAGGGCCATCAAATGTCATAAAACCAATATTGGATATAATAAGCAAACTAGGGTTTCTTAAATCTGACAAAAATGTTTTAATATGACAAACCTGGCATAATTTTCTCCTTCCAGCTCTAGGATTTATTTTCTGACTATATATATATATAATTTTTCCCCCTGTTGAATAAGCTCCTTTTGGTCAAGGATTTGCAAACAGGTGTAAGGGCAAGAAACTGATGAGTGTTCACAGTACTAAACATAAGCCATTGTTGCTTTCTATTTTCTTTAAACATTGTGAAAAATCTGTTCGCTGCCTATAGCAGTCAGAAACATTGTAAAACACATTTACATTGAGTAGTGAGTCTTAATCTTCATATGAAAATTAAAATGCTCAATGTCTTTAATTCTTGATATGCTATTAAACAATATGAGGCACATTTACAAATTGCAGGAAAGTGGGATGAAGCAGATACATACTTCGCTTTCTCCATGTGCCTCCAATATTATCATTTAAGCAAAACTGCTTTCAAAGTAATTTAAACATGCCCCAAACTGATAGTCTAATATGTGGTTAAGCCTTTGGGGATTTCTCTCAGTGCCTCCAAAAGGGTGGGGTGAGGATAAAGCATCTAGGGATCATTTTCCTAAGGGACCTTGTCTGACTTGCATTAGGCAGGAAGTAGAATGAACCAACAAAGATACCTAAGAATATTCATGGTCTCTACTCCTGTTTGGGACTTTGACCATAGAAGATATTGAGACCTTGAACATGAAAATTGCAGAGCAACTTTCTTAGAATGAACAAACCAGGACATTAACAAGCATATAATTCAATACTGTACATTTAATATCTATTATATTATAACTAGAGGCCCAGCACATGAAATTCATGTCTGGGTACGGTCCCTAGGCCTGGCCTGTAATCAGGGCCATCTTCCCTGGCTGCCTGCAGCCAGCCCCACCCGCCACCAGCACCCACTCCCAGCCCCCATTCGCCATCCGGTGATCAGTGCCCGAGGGCCAGGGGGAAGGAACTGAGAGGTGGGCTGTTTCTGCCCACTCGCCAGCCCCGTCTCCACCACTGGTTGCCCTCTGTGTGTGGGACGACCAATGGGGCGGGGGGCCTTGGCTTGGTGCCTCCCGCATCCCCCACCACCTACCCCTGGTTCCCCATTCACCATCAGGTGATCAGAGCCTGCCAGCCGGGGGGGAAAGGGACCTAGAGGTGGTCAGTGCTCCTCATAGAGACTGGTCCAGTGACCTTTTCACAGGGGTGGCCTAAGACCATCCTGCATATCAGATATTTACATTACAATTCATTACAGTTATGAAGTAGCAATGAAAATAATTTTATGGTTGGGTCACAACATGAGGAACAGTATTTAAAGGGCCAGAAGGTTGAGAACCACTGCAATAGAAGGAAAACAGATTGACTTGGTGGACCTATGTTTCTATTTTGACTTATTTTCATTTGCTATAGCCTGATTTCTTTTCAATCATGAATGGTTTCAATAGATACTTTGCATTTTGTTACCTAGATTGAAGCCTAACTTTGAACCTACTCAATATAATTGTTGTCATTTTCTGTTTCTCAAATCCAGACACAATAAATCTATGATTGTGCCAAAGTTCTAGAATCAAAATTTCATTACACTCTTTATAATTTTAAAAAAATCCACTTTCCTATCATGTGAATGCTAAGAATCTCCCTTCCTCTAACGCAGTGATTCTCAACCTTGGCTGCACATTAGAATCACTTGGGAATCTTTTTAAAATCCTGATTTTTGGGCCTCATCCTCCAGAAATTGTTTCTTTGTTATGGGGTGGGGCCACAACGGCAGCAACAAGCAAGCAAGCTACCAAGGACAGGGGTGTAAGAGTGAGCACCTCTTGCCAACCCAGAACCTCTTGGGTGGGGCCACAACATTAGTAACAAAGAAACAGAATTTCCAGAGGATGAGGCCCAGAAATCAGGATTTTAAAAAGATTCCCAGGTGATTCTAATGTGCAGCCAAGGTTGAGGACCACTGCTCTAATGCAATCTCTCTATACTAGTACTTCTAGGTTTATTTGCTTTATGGGAAAAAATACTATAAAATCACATTCCTTGGGATTTTGTTTACTTGTTTCTTTTTGTTTTTAATATTTTAACAGGTTATGTCATGTGGTCATGTAAATAAGCAGCCTGCTGAGTGTGTGGTTATCCTCCTTACATCAGACAACTCAAGTTCACATACTCCTAAGAGTCTGGTTATACTTCCTGATTTACATCCAAAGAACATCTGCTTTTTAAAATGTTAAAGTACAATGTTTAGATAGTAGATAGTATATATAAATAGACATGTCATGATAGCATGAACTAGGGTTGTTAAAATGCTTATGATCCTGTTTTCATGTTGAAAACTATTAAAACTATTTTAAGTTAATCTTACATTTTCAGAATTGCATTCAGGGGCATTCAGATTTTCTTCCTTTGTTGTAACAACTTGAGAGTTCTCACTGCTTCCAGGAGTGCTTTGTTCAGGCTTCAGAAAGAAAGAGAGAACATGAAAAGAGACACAGAGGGAAGAGGTTCAACAAATAGATTCATAGGACATGGTAAAATATAATACAATGGCAGTAGCACATTCAAAGAAAAATAACAACATGGGACTTTGTATATAATTAGAGACTTTAAAATTTCAACTTTAAAACTTAACCTAAAAATGAAATAAAATACTTTCTACTATTTTGTATCAATGATGTTAATTAGGATAATTTTAAGAATCCTAGCTCCTCAATAAATCCTATATAATAAAGAGCTAATATGCTAATGGTCATGACACTCTCATGCCATAACTACCATTCAGCAGGAGGCATGTGCATGGTGGGGTGGAGCTGCTGTGTTGCTCTGGAGACAGGGCAGAAGTGGGGAGGCACCCAGAGGAGGTGGGACCAGCCCCAGGCAACTTGCAGGGACCAAGGGTGGGGCTTGAAGCAGCCAGAGAAGGCCAGAGTGGTCGGGGGCGGGGCCAGCACACTGGAGCTCTCCGTGGAGAGGTTAGGGTGTCAAGGCAGGGCGGTGGGGGGAGGGGGCGGTTGTCGGGGTGTGTGCGGGTGGGCGGGGCTGAATGATTTCACGCGCCGGGTTACTAGTAAATAAATAAATAAACAAATAAATAAATGAATGGAATCATGTACTTTCTTTTCCCTTTAACTTCCAGTATATCTCAGAAATAGTAAGTACACATCTTATTTTCTCAGGAAGAAAGAAAATGTCTTGTAATATCCCATGTAATTTGCATAGAGGACTATATTGACTCCTATGCTTTACTAACTAATTAATTGTTGCTTTATTCCTCTGGATATCCAAAATATTATTCTAAAATTCATCTTTTTAGGAACACCAAATTAAAAAGTAAGGTAAAATGAAAAGGTTTTTTTCCAGTTCTGGCCAGAGAAGGGTTATACCATAACTAATATATATATATATATATATATATATATATATATATATATATATATATATATATATTCCTATTGGCTTGTGTAATATTATCTACTCAAATGAGTGTTTCTTAGTTAGAGCTGATTTGAATATACTGCTTTCCCCATTAATCTATGATGGTGCTATTGGAAGACAGACAAAAACTCAGTGAGTGCTAACTTGTTTGGATCTGAATCTTTGATCTCAATGGATCACAGGGGATCTGGAAAAGAGGATTCTAACCATTAGGGACCTCAGAAGACATAGACTAGGATGTGGTCTGGTCAGAGTACTCAAACCCATTAAGGTTTTCTCTGTGCTACACTCTAGACAGCACTGGCCTGTTTTTCTACAGGCAGTTATATTCCTTAGCAGGGGGGCATTCCTACAAAAAATAATAATTTTCTAAAAATAAACACCAAAGATACTTAATAAAACGAGTAGAATATTAAATGTAAAAAAAGTAATGAAACTAGTATATTAGAGAGACAATGGAAAACAGTTCCTATATTAATTCACCCAAATGCTAGGCTTTATGTATAATAATAAATAAAGCAAATAAAATTCCTCTTTCCTTTTACTTAAATAAGTTTAATTTAGTTGTATGAGATACAGAAGGCATCCTGTTTTACTCCCTCTTTCTCTTATTCTTCCTTGTTTAATACCTCTATCTTCTGATCTCTCCCCTGAGCCTTCCCTAGGAATAAGAAAATAATTAACCAGGGAAATAAAATGTCTTCAAATAAGCCAGTTCTCTGTGTTACATGCCCCTGATAAATATAAAGATGAGAAAGGTGTGATTTTTGTTTTCATAGAACTTACATAATTCGATTGTTATTCACATAAATAGCTATAAGATAAAGTAGATTAATTAAAAGGGCACAAGCAGAATTGGAAATATTTCAAAAGGCCAAATGTCAAATCCATTTGTGGTAATGGGGAAAGGCATGATGGAAAGGGTAATCTTTAAAATGGGCCTCTGGATGATTAAGGCAAGAGTGAGGAGGGAGCATTCAAGGTGATGGAAACACTGCAAGAAATTATATTTAGGAAGAAAGGTCAGTTGTTGGCCTATTGGTTTAGAGGGCAGCAGTAGAGTAGATATGAGAAACATGCTACAAAGTAGGGAGGAGAATCCCAATATCAAGCTACAAAGTTTGTAATGATAGCTTTTTTTCTATTTTAAAATTATTCCAAAAGAAATATTCATCTTTTAAAAAATGAGGATAATAATATTTCTCCCTTTTAGAGTTTTGTGAGGAGCATTTAATTTTATATAAGTGTAGTAAAACTCAATAAATGTCAGTTAGTATTGATATCATTGCTATTCGTTTTATTTCTAAAACTGTCCATGACAAATAAGCATCAGTTTCCTAATAAAAAGAACTAATATAATTTTAGAGTAGTTAATGTTATAAATGGTTATAGTAGGTGGCCTTATGTGTATGAGCATATACATATGACAAAGAAGTCACACTACCTATACATGTTTAAAATATCAGTTTAATCTCAAAGCACTAACAAATACCTAAAATTGAAAAGAAACAAACTAGGAAATCAGGCATAGTCTTATTAAATGTATTTTTCCAACATTTTAAAGTTGAAAATGAAAACATCTAACCTATTTTGTACTAATAAAATTTAAGCATATAGAGAAGCTAGAGGAGCTCCATTTTTAATGTGGCTCAAGAACAAGCTTAAGGAGACCAAGGTTATGCTTCTGGCTGTCTCAGGATTGGGGTAATGCAATCTGGTGCCTTACTGGGTCATTGCCAGGACTTTAGCAGCATCATCAGGTGGGATGAGGTAGAAGTGAGCACTGATGTTTCAGGGATATAAAAACCCCTTCCCTGTTCTAAAGAATGGGCTCTACATGGGGGAAGAGGGAAGGATAATGTATACAATTCTGACAGGGGTGGCAAGTTTAGACATGGCTGGGCAAATGCATGGGGAGGTTGAAAAGAAGGAGTTTACTTCCATCAGATGAAACTATCATTATTCAGGCCAGGGACTCATGGAGATATAGGGAATAGGAGGATATTATCTTTTCCTAAGTAAGAGAGATGGGAAAATATCAATCAGGATTTCTTAAGTGCTCAGCAAAAACAGATTGGCATTCACGGAAGGATCTTGATCATAATATTAGTAGCAAATTGAATTCCTAATCGATGAAAATAAGGTGCATGTAGTTTTGCAAATGGTCAAATTTATAGGAACAAGTTCAGAAATGCTGCCTCTTGTGTCTTTACATAAGCATCCATAAAACCTCTCTGTTTGCTACCCATATTCTTTGATAGCAAGAAAGCACAGGTGGTGGGGAGGGTTCTCCAATATATGACTCAACTCTGTCAGGAATGCTTCCCAAATGGATTAATGTGCCATGGTGAATTTAGCCACAGAGAATAAGCAGTGGAAAAATGAAAGGTTCTAGGTGGTATTAATCTCATAGTGCATTTTATCATTTGCAAATATAGATTTGCTTGAAAATATATAAATTTACTAGCCTTCTTTTAAATTTATTTTTAATTTATTGAATTTCATTGGAGAGAAAAAAAAAGAGGCCAACTGGCTAACCAAGATATTAAAGAAGATTTACCTGTAGAAAATGGAGAAACCAAAAACTAGGTGAGTCCAGCCTCTGATGTAGCAAGCCAGAAAGATGCCGAGCCTGATTAATACATTATACCTTGTCTTATCCATGGTCCTTATCTCCCCTCTACAATCCAGAGGAATTGTTTTATCAAATATTTTGTAAATACAAGTTACTTTCATAGCTCTAGTAATACTTTTAAGAAGAGAATCACACCTGATTCCAATTTTAAGTAAATTATTTTTTTTAAAAAGAGTAAAAGTATGTGTTGGTTATTTATTTTGGTACCCCTAGAAAATGGTGGGCTAGTGAATATGTAATGTTTTAACTTGGGTGTCAGCTTAATATTCCATAGATGGGTAAGTAGCTTTTATATCCTATAACACACAACATACTACTAGTACATGGGAATTTTGGAGTCACAGTTTAAGTCATTTAATTGTCTTAAATTTTTAAAATTATCTCTAGTCTCATGCTGTATTTTTTAAAATATGTTTTTTTATTAATTTTAAAGAGAGAAAGGAAGGGAGAGGGAGGGAGAGAAATATCAACTGCTGCCTCCTGCATGTCCCCTAGAGGGGATCAAGCCCACAGCCCAAGTTCTGGGAATGGATCTGGTGACCTCTTGGTGCATGAGCCTGCGCTCAAACACCTGAGCCACACCAGTCAGAGCTCATGCTGTTTTATGGTAGAATTATTTTGTTTGACTTTTGTTTTTTTAGTGTAGATCCTGAATGTGTATTTCCTTAATCTACAAATTGTCCATATCCCCTTTATTCCAAAGATAGGAAATCACAGAAATAAGCAGCAAGAAATAGGCTCCAGATGTTTGCACAAATGTGTAACTGCATAGGTGGGCCTCAGGTTTTCCAGGGCCCACCCTGAGATATCAGCATCACAAGTGGTTCTGGTATCTGTAACATTCTTTTTAACAGTGAGAGAGCCTAAGGCAAATGATAAGAGAGCCAGCACTTTCAAATAAATATATACTGTCAGAAAGGAAATCCTTTTTCCACTCTTTCAGGTTGTCAGGATTTATTTAAATGCAAAGCCTGCAAATTGCAGATTCTGACAATTGAAACCAAAAGCCTGTGCCACATATGATGTAGTGTGATGGGCACTTTGTCAGTAGGTCTCAAAAACCTCCGGGGAAGCTTTTAAAAAACGTTAATGATTGGAGCCCAACCACAAAGAATTTGATTTAATAGGTCTGGGTTTAGTCCCAAGTGTCAGGATTTTTTTTTTTTTTTTAACAAGTATCCCAAGTGAGTCTAATGTGCAGGCAGTGTTGAGAACTGTCTTAATAAAAAAAAAATGTATCCACTTTTGAAAGAATGATAGTTATACACTAGGAAAAAATATTCCCCATTTTAACTTTTGGTGTACATTGGAATATAATACAAGATACTTTCTTTTAACTAACTATAACATAATAATTATTTTAGAATGCTAATTTAGAAAAATAATTGTTATAAATAATGATAATTACTATTATTTTACAATCAGATCATCCTGCCTAAGATTCAGCTGGCTTTACCATGTGACTATGCAGAGTTACAAATTGGGTTTCTATCATCCATTTACATTATTTTGATGTTTTACTTAGATCCACACTGATGACCACATAGTACTTTACTTGATTTTACTTTGTATTATTATTATTGTTTTTTAAAATCATTATTGTTGAAAGTATTACATAGGTCCTTCTTTTTCTGCCATTAATCTCTTCCAGCCTCCTCTCACCCCCCAGGCACTCACTACCCCATTATCTGTGTCCACAAGTTATGCATATATGCATACAAGTTCATTAGTTTTACTTTCCAAAGCACAAATAAAGTGTACCTTGCTTTTTGTCCTTGCATCTAGAATCTTGACATCAATGGGACTGGGTGGAATTGACATCTGAGTTGGATTTGACCTGATTAGACTCAGAGGGGGTGGTTGATCACGAAAAACAGATGACAGGCAGAGTTGCACAGTCTGTTTCAGTGCTTTCAGTTGTGAATCCTACAAAAAATAAATAAATAAATAAATAAATAAATAAATAAAAGAGATCACAATTTTTACACGATAAACAGAACCACATGATACCCTGTTTCATGCATACTCAGTCTGTTTGTTTTTATGAGTAAATGTATTTTATGATATATTTTGAACACTGAAATTCAGAGACATAACTTCTTTTTTTTCCTTGAACTGGCATGATTTCAATCATGATAGTTTGCTGAATCTATTTGTTGAAGAAAATATACTCTGGGGCACACTGAAGTAGAAAATGCTCTTACAAACCTGCCTTCTTTCTAGTAGGAGCAGCCACCTTTATTACAAATCCTTCCCCTGGCAATGTAGGCCTCTGTGTTTCTCAGATTAGCCTGTATTAGCAACTCAATTTCATCACATATTGGGAAAAATAAATTTGTTTCCAATAAAACCTTTATTTCCTTTGGGCCTTGTTCAGAAGTAGAAGTTAATTTTCTTTGACTATAAATAATATTAATACTTTCTGATATTAGCATAGGATATCACAATCCTCCAAGCACTTTCAACTTTCACATGCAGGAAATAATTTTATGCTTTCAAACATCTGTGAAACTGGCACTACGAATTATGATTTTACTGTGAAGAAAAGAAAGCTCAAAGTTTTCAGACGGGGTTATTTTCGGTTTATATCACCAGGCAGACTGAACTTACATAGACCATCATCTCTGCCTCGCATTGAATCCCCAGGACCCACTTCTGAAAATATGTTTTTACATACTAATAAGTTAAAAAATAATAATATAAAGCTGAGTACAAACGACAGAGAGGTCCTCGGGGGCCAAAATGAAGAGAGACATCCAACTGTTAGGAAATCTCACGGTAACTCAAGGGTACTTTGGGGTGTGGATACAGACCCTAATAAGACAATGTCACAGAAACATCAATCTCAAGACATGAGATATGGCCTTTAGGCAAAGAGAGGTGAAGGGAGAGATTAGTTACTGAGGCCGAGACTCCAGGACAAGCTGGCACACATGGAGACGAGCCTTTCAGTGCCTTCATAGATCAGTGAAGCAGCACAGTTTGTTTTCTTCACCTGTCAAAGCCAAATACGCCCAACAAAACTATTGCCTTTCATAAACTATGCCAGAAACGCTTTCACAGAGCATCCTCCCCTACTGGTATTTCTTGTCTCCCATAAAGCCTTCGTGATCAATTTCTTAAAAGCAGTGGCTATGATTTATATCCTTCCCAATGCCTACCTCTGTGCTTCCTACTAATATGTGATTTATGATAATATTTATCTTTAAGTTGTGAGTGCGAATTGCTAGAATAGCAGTTTAGGAAATCTCTCTCTTTGGTCACAGCAAGAAATTTTGAAAAAGAAGCAATAAGAGCAACATCTGGAAATATGTAAGACATAGAACAGACATGCATTTTCTTCTCATTACTCTTGCTCTATGAATTTGTCTCAGACAAAATGAGAATCTGATGAGAACTAGGATGGAGAAGCATTAAGTGGACAGGAGGGGGCTAAGCTGAATAATGACCTTGTACTCAAAGTGGCCCCTTTTAATTGCTTGTCTGACTCTCTAGATCAGGGGTGGGCAAACTTTTTGACTCGAGGGCCACAATGGGTTCTTAAACTGGACCGGAGGGCCGGAACAAAAGCATGGATGGAGTGTTTGTGTGAACTAATATAAATTCAAAGTAAACATCATTACATAAAAGGGTACGGTCTTTTTTTTTTTTAGTTTTATTCATTTCAAATGGGCCGGATCCGGCCCGTGGGCCGTAGTTTGCCCACGGCTGCTCTAGATTGTTGCCCTTCCCCTACCCCATTGATTTCTATAATTGATCCTGTTGTTTCCTTTATATAATTGATCACTAATTCTCATTTTTAATTTATACGTATATATACACATGTATAAGTTGCCTGTTTTGTTCAGAACTGTTGTGGCACATAACACAATCCCTGATATATAAAAGGGACTCAACAAAAAGTTTTTATTTTCAATAAATGACTTAAAAATTTAGGTGAAAACATTCTTTCTGTGTCTCAGAGAAGAAAATTAACAAGTTATATCAGTAAAAAGAAATGAAGTGGTAGTTCAGTTTTCTTCTCCTATTATTTCTTGTTATAATCCTGACTAACCCTTCCTTTCTCTCACTACAGAACAGGAGATCAAGGTATTGGGTGTTGTGTCAGGAGTGAGCTATCCCTGGTGAGACTGAACCATTTAAATATGTTTTCTGTGTTGCATCTTTTAGTGGGACAATAGAAACAGAGCTAATGCGACAGGGTCAGGCAAGCCTTGGCTAGGACTCACAGCTAAGTGGCTTTGAAATATAGAGATTTAATGTTTAAATCATGCAGAAAGTAATGGTGGTTACAGTATTCACTGTGTTCATATCTTGGCTCCTCGAAAGCCACTCTACATCTCAGCTTTGGATTTATAACAGGCTTAAGGTATATGTTTTCGTAATAGACAAATTCCAGAGTGGTGGCTGAAATTAGGTGCTAAAAATAAATAACAAACAGCATTCGGTTAATATTGTCAAACATCGATTTTCAATAAACATTGTTTAGGCAAGACACATTTTTCCAATAAAACAACAACCAGGGATGCGTCGTACACGAACATTTGTAATTGTCCCAACTTTGATACAATCACCTTGGTTGTTCCACAGCTCTCCTGGCATTGTCAGGATCATCGCAGAGAACAGAAACATCACACAGACGTCACCTCCAACTCCTCAGCTTTCGCAGCCACAGTAGTAAACTATCTTTTATGTTTCAACCTATTCTTAATCTCTTAGTTTTACATTTTATCTCATTTTTGAACCCGAAGCCTGTAACTTTGCCCCCTACCTTAGCTTCTGGCTCCAGTGCTTGAGTACATTATAGATTTTTCTTTTTTTTCCTGCCAAAGACAGCAGATTGCTGTGAGCAACCCTGCCCTAATCCGGTCATCTTCTGAAAAACAAAACCTAGTTTTCCACTTAATCTAGTTAATAGAGCCTGTTACCACAGACACTCCTCAGGTTTGGCTTGACCCAGTTCCATCAGCAGGACCCAGACAATGATTTTATATCACATGATTACATTTTCATTCCTGCTGCCAGCCATAGTTGGTTTTGAAATTGCAGGCTACTGTTCACTTTGAAATTCACTGAAACAAGATGTCACCTAAGAAATATGATGCAAACCATGTAATGTATGCCTTGTCCTAGATCTTACAGCCTATTCCCTCTGAAGGTCAGTCTTGTTTTTGCCCTGCCTTATTCCCACACCAAACCATTGTTTTCCAGACTCTAGTAAAATGCAGACTCCGTAATAAGGACCTGCTTATAACAATGCCCTTTATTTATAGCTCATCAAACATTCCAAGCTCATTTGCATCTTACAGCCTTTATATTTGCTGCTTCCTCTGCTTGCAGAACCTTTTTTTCAAGTATCTATGCAGGAAATTCCAATTAAAATTCATATCTCAGTTTATATATTATCTTCTTTGAAACATAGTCCCTGATCACCCTTTCAAGGAACACTCCTTTTAGAATCTCTATCACTGTTTTTAAATTATGTCCTATGTAGCCCTTGTTACCACTGCAAATGATCTTATTGTTTATGTGTTTATTATTTATCTACTTCTATTAGAATGTAATTTCTTTGAGTGTCAGTACCTTTTTGGCAGCATCACCAGTTTCTAACTTAAATATTTGTTACATGAATAAATAAAGCAAACCTTCCAGAGGATATAAGTGGCTGCCATTTTGCATGAGAAAATCTATATATATAAAGGGCTAAGTGACCATCTGACCATCTGACTGGCCGGTACATATGACACACACTGACCACCAGGGGGTAGACGCTCAACACAGGAGCTGCCGATCTGCAGTGACTTGGCTGCTGTGGTTCTCCGGTGATGCACCCGGGAACCAGAAAGTAGAGAGACCAATTTGGAAAGACCATGAGGGGCTGTGAATCCAAAGACTTTTCTTTAATGTTATTTCTGCTGTGAAATCAACTGTGTGAATTCTGAAAGGTCCTTTAATGTTTTAGGTTCTCTGCTCAAAGTCTCTCCAGGTCTCTAGTATGTAGGATATATAGCGTGTTTATTAATTTATGAAGTTAAATCTTCATTTATCTATTCAATCAATAAGTTCTTATCGTGCTCCTGTTATGTGCCAGAAATACTGTGGCAAAAAGATTTCTTGTTTTCTTCCTAGTTAGCCCCAGGAGTGTATGTAGGTCGCCTAACTTGTGTCATCTGTAGTATGGATGTCATTACGCACGCTTCCCTAAGAGAAATTTTGTGATGGTTACATGTAATAGAAACTTTTCTTTCCATATGAAAGTTTGATAGATTTCCAAACCATAAAGTTGTTTTTGCATTCTAGTTTCTGAGGCTAAATGTAATTCATAAGGTATTGCCAAATAAATAATTGATTGTTGGAGAAACCAAGGTTGGCTCTTAGATTTTGTGGTTATTATTGTTTATGTTGTGATAGTAAACTGAGACTTCTTTCATTAAATATGTTATGAGAACCAAGTTGAAGGATGAAATGTTGTTTTCATAATATTTATAGGGTGGTGAAGGTTATTTGAAGACCAGATGTAATATTCTTAGGAGCCAGACACCTGAAGAGAATAAAAAAGCCTCACATAACGATATAAGGATGATGGAGAGAGGGGAAGAGCAATGCCATTAAACTGAAGTTTTTATTCATTTTGAAGTGAACTACCATTTCTACCCGACCTTATAACTACAGTTTATGAGCCTCACACATATCTTACATTAAATTTGTTGAAATTAACCTCCAGTAATATGAAATGCTTTTATAGTTTACTATAGCAAAAGGTGTGACCAAATGCTGAAGGTTAAAGAGAGAAATTGCTATCACAGAGAGGTAGTCTCTGTGATCTCATTCACTAATAATAATAATTAATATGCTTACTGAGTCTTTTCCAGGTGCCAATTATTCTTCTTAGTATGTTGCTTTTTTGAGGCATATAATTTTCTCATCACCCTTATAAAGTAAGTTTCATTATTATTTCATGTTACAATGAAGCATAAAGAGTTCGGGGATGCATAGCCGATTTTGCTCAGTGGATAGAATGTCCATCTGTGGAATGAAGGGTCCAGGGTTTGATTCCAGTGAAGGGCATGTGCCTTAGTTGCAGGCTCAATTCCTGGTCCTGGTTGGGGGTGTACAGGAGGTAACCAATCGATGTGTCTCTCTCACATTGATGTTTCTCTCTCTGTGTCTCTCCCTCCCACTCTCTCTAAAAATCAATGGAAAAATATCCTCAGGTGAGGATTAACAACAACAACAAAAATAGTTTGGGGGATTCAAACACAGTCATTCAATTGAAAAATTATGACTTGCTCATAGATGGACACTGGAGACCTTTACTTAAACCCTGCAATATTAAGTCTCTCATCCTGAATTAGGAGTGTGGCATGGTGTGGGGCAGGCACATAGTTATGGTGGAGGTGGTGGTGGGGTGGTGGATTAGAAATGGGAGGAGAAAAGCATAGAATGATTAAGAGGAGGGAGGAGAAAACTCTGCATTAACTCCAAGTTCTATAACTCAGGCTAAATTACGATTTTCTCATGAAGTATTATATGGCCACACCAGCCCATCCAACCCACATGTCCTTAAAATACACATATTCATTCTCATTCTTGGTGCCTTTATGACCTCATGGCTCTGCATACAATTATTTTCTAATTGTTCATGGCCAACAAAATAGTGAGAGATGTGGAACCCAAGACCATATATTATAAATGCTTTCTATTTTCCATAGCACCTAGCACATGGTAGTCACACAAGAGGCATTTCAAACATATTTAGCATTGACTGGCTAAATGGATGACCTGAAATCAAATCAGGGAAGAGATTTAATGTAATAAAAATCATTCTGACAGAGTTGTTAAAAATCTCAGAGGAAGTTGAGCTGTGCAGAACCATGGGAATACAACGTGTTTTTCAGACTTAAGGCACATTGCAGAGATCATGGCAGGGATAACAGAGAAATACTTTTTTTAAAAAAAGATTGTCTAGTTGAACTTGAGGATTATACATTCCTTTGATTTTCTGATACTAGCAATACTATGGCAATTTCCCTTTTTGAAAAAGCAATATTATGTAGCATGAGTTGGATATGGTCAGAGATTAGCATAAATTGGTATAAGCTTATTTTTTCATAAATAAAAAAATCTCATAAATCTGCAATCTTGGAAGATGAATTATATTTGATCTAGTCTACAAAATAGCAGGTAGGCTTCTATAAATCCATTAAACATTATATTATTTTTGGATAAACTAATATAACATGATAATCACAAAGGAGAGACGTTGTTAAAATATCTAGTTATTCATTCAAAAGGTACATTTGTCCAAAAGATCTAAACCATAAGAAGAAGAAATCATTAGAATTCAACAAATGTCCTTACAAATTCCTGTACTATGATACTTTCTAGATATCTGGTTTAAAAAGTTAGCTATGTTAGCTTTGAAGAAATTTTGGTCATAAGTAAGTGAAGAAAATGCCTATGTGAGACCCAAGGTCCTGGGAGGTAAAATTTTAGCCTGGCTCTTTATAGCTACTGCATAACAAGGAGGTTATACCAGAAGAGCTTTAAAATGAATTAGACTCAAATGTTCCACCTCCTTTATTCTGTATCAAAACACTCATGGTTCAAATTGGTGATTAGGAGATAATCTCCTTTTTTTACAAAATTGCTAAACATATGCAGTATATTATTGCAAAATTAATTAATGAGTGCAATCACTTTACTTGCTTATTTTTCTAAATAAAATCATTGCTAAACTGCAATCACAAAAACAGAGAGCTCCTCATAGCAGACAGAATAATTTCTAATAGAAAACTTATTTTAGAAATTACAGGGGTAATTTAATAAAGAGAATTGCATAGACAAATGTAACAAATATCAGGTAAATACCAATCTGAATTAAATATTAAAAGGGATCATTTTGATTATACAAATATGTATTTGTTATTATAATTAATATGTATATTATTTAATAAAATGTATTATACATGAAAATTTTAATATACACAATCACATGCATTACATATATTTAACATATATAAACTATATAAACAATGTATCTAATGCATATATGCTATATAATACATGTTAATATATACAATACATAGTGAACTAAAGGAAAAAAAGATATTTACTTTCCCCAATCTTGTAAAGTTAATTTAAAAATGAGAAAAGGGAGTGAAATTTTACCAAATACTATAACTATTAAACAGCAGAAACGTAATTCTGAATTACATAAGCAATTTCTTCATATTATATTTGTCTTTCCATGTACCAATTCTCTATTGCCCATGAATGACTCCCATAAAAGACTATTGAAAGGCAAAGGCAGATATGGAATGGGAGTTGTGGTTTATCCTGAGCATACATAATTGTAACACAATGAGAGATTGATATAAAGTAAATAGATGACGTAAAAAGAGATAAAGAAAATCATTTGTAAATAGTGATGATGGTAGCATAACCGTGAACCTCAAAAGTGTGACTTTTATGGTATGCAAAATAAATTTCAATGAATCTGTAGACTGTTGGGGGCGGGGGGTCCCTTAGCTTGGCCTGTGCCCTCTCTCAATCCAGGACCCCTTGGGAGATGTCGGGTAGACGATTTTGGACTGATCCCCACAGGGCCGATCCCCGCAGGCCCAATCCAGAGGGAGCCTGATCCTATGTGTTGAGTGTCTGTTCCCTGGTGGTCAGTGTGCATTGTAGCAACCGGTTGACCAGTCATTCGGTCATTCAGTTGCTTAGGCTTTTACATATATATAGCTATATAGATAAAGCTGTTATAAAGATAGACTGTCACCCACTATTCCTTTTTCTGTATATAAACTGACTTCATGGTTAAGTCAGTTTATGTAAAGACCTCAAGAACTCTGATTTAAGATTTCTAGAATGAAAAACATCAATGACTACTCCCATTGGCTTTATAGCTCATTAATTCAAAGTTAATACATGTCATCTCTATTGGTGCTTGAAAGCATGTTTATTTATGGTGTTATGGAATAAATATACCAGTAAGGAGGAAAATAAAGCCATGAACTCACAGAGCCTGAACCTTGAGTCAATTTACTGTAGCAGCAAAAACAAGAAAAAAATTGAGTTCCAACAGGAATACCCAGCGTTAGTAAATTCAATAACCACCTTACATGAACAGCACCTGAAATTGCACTAATAAATCAAGGGAAGCAATGAACATGCCCTGGCTTTGTCTGCTAAAACCAAAGTTGTGATGGCTCATGGATATGCACGTACCCGATCAAGAGCTGCTTTCTCCAGCGCATTTCTGGCCACAGCTAATTTTTGTTCCAGATCAGTAAGCTGTTGGGCCTGCAAAATGAAAGAAAGGCTAGTACTTACAGTAAATTCTATAATTTCTCCTTCACTTTGAGCATCTGTCATTCACTGCCATAAAATTTTAAAGAATTATCTTTGAAAATTCATTTGGCTAAGTTGAGAAAATGATGTATTCTACATGAATATCTACTAAATAGGAAAAGTTTTACCTCAAGTCTCTGAAGATAACTTGTGATATAAATCCAACAGTATATTTTTAGTTGCTGTGAACTGAATTATGTCCCCCTAAAATTTATATGTTAAAGGTCTGACTCTTGGTCATGTGACTGTATTAGGAGACAGGGCCTCTAGGGAGGTAATTAAGACTAAATGAGGTAAAAAAAAAAAAGGGGGGGGGGCTAATCCTATAGGGCTAGTGCCCTTATAAGGAGTGGAAGGGACACCAGAGATATTTCTCTCTCTCCATGCTGATTCAGAACAAAGGCCCTATAGCAGTGATGGCGAACCTTTTGAGCTTGGCATGTCAGCATTTTGAAAAACCCTAACTTAACTCTGGTGCCGTGTCACATATGGAAATTTTTTGATATTTGCAACCATAGTAAAACAAAGACTTATATTTTTGATATTTATTTTATATGTTTAAATGCCATTTAACAAAGAAAAATCAACCAAAAAAATGAGTTCACGTGTCACCTCTGACATGCATATCATAGGTTCGCCATCACTGCCCTATAGGATACAGCGAGAAGGCACCTGCCACAAGTTAGGAAGAGCTCTCAGAAAAAACTGAATCTGCCAGCACTTTGATCTTAGACACCTAGCCCCCAGAACTGAGAAAATACAATTCTGTTGTGTAAGCCACCCATTCTATAGTATTCTGTTATGGCAGCCTGAGAAGCCTAATACAATGGTATTAACTCTTTTTAAGTATATTTTATTGATTTTTTACAGAGAGGAAGGGAGAGGGATAGAGAGCTAGAAACATCGATGAGAGAGAAACATTGATCAGCTCCCTCCTGCAGACTTCCCACTGGAGATGTGCCCACAACCAAGGTACATGCCCTTGACCAGAATCAAACCTGGGGCTTTTCAGTCCACAGGCGACACTCTGTCCACTGAGCCAAACCAATTAGGGCAGTATTCACTCTTTTTATTATTGACTTTTAGTCCAATACACTTCTCTATCCCACCTTATCTCTGTACCATTTCAAATCCATAAAGGTCCTATTGAAAGAAAAAGGCAATGGCCTCAGACTTAGAAGATGTGTTTTAAAATCCTGCCTCTACCAATTTCTAGCTATACAGGGTGGGGCAAAAGCAGGTTTATAGTAGTTTGTATGGAAGTTAATACAATAATAACTCCTATACATTAAAGAGCTAATACTCTAATTAGACTGGATGGCAGAATCACCTTCTGGAACAACCTTCCGAAACCACCTTTCAGAATGACCAGTGGGTGAGGCCACAGGACTGTGAGACAGCCAGGGCCGGGAGGGCTGAGCCCCTTGCATGAATTTCGTGCATCGGGCCTCTAGTAAATAATAATAATACAAAAATAAATGCTATGCTTCACATACCCCCAACTGTAAACCTATTTTTGCCCACCCTGTATACTATAATCTTATGTTGACAAAAAGATGATCAGCAGGCTCACAGAGGACCTGCCGAAGAGCCTGCCTGCCCTCATGGTTGAGAACCTCTCTATACCACTAGACTTTGCCTCTTACATTTAGCCAATGCAAAGAATCCAATGTGGAAAGGAATGAAGGATATTTCTGATGCTCTTGTGAGGCAAGGGGATTGAGTTTGCTGGGGAGAAGTCAGCAGCAGGAGGTTGTTCAGTTACCTTTCTTCAGTTACCAGTTAGTCACAACACTGGGTGCTATAACGCCCTGGGCTTATAGCAAGGCTGCAGCCAGCTATCATGTGCCCATTTGTCTGTTGCTCATCTCTCCTCGCTCTCACAGTCTGGGAAGCAGAACCCTGAGGTTCTGTCCTTGATTAAAGTTTTCTGCCCTATGGTGACCACCTGGGAGGAAGGAGATGGTGAGGATACTTTCTTGTTTGTAAAAACCCTATATCCATTTTTTGTATCTATGTTTACTTTTTGTTTCCTAAGTTTGTTTCCGGTGTTATTCTCCATACTTTACTCGTGTAGGGAATAATTTTCTGGTCGACACTTGTTGTCCTTAAACAGCTACTTGATGCATGCACATAAAATATATCACATGTGCCCTTATAAATGCATACACTAATGCTTAAAAATTAACCCATTCTGAATTTTCAAGAGAGAAAGAGAGGGAAGGGAGAGAACACTTCCAACAGGAGGGCACCTACAAGTGGGTGAATCCCCACAAGCTCTGAGCCGTGTGCTCTAAACCCCACTCGTACCACCCCTTAGGATCATGGGCCTCAGTCTCAGATTCTCAGATCCTCATCCCCAGGCTTAGACCATTCTGCCCACCCTGAGTCACTGCTGCCTCCAGCCCCTCAACATCCTCAACCATCAAACATAGGACTCACATTGTGACAGTCTGTGGCAGCAGCAGCAGGGCCTACCTACCTAAGCACCTTCTGTCCATGGGCCTGAGCCCCAAATAAGGAAGGAGATGAATGGCCCTTATGTCTCTCTCCAGCTCCCTGGCTTAGGACAGGAGGTAGGGACAGTTGAGAGGGTTAGTGGGTGGGCTTCAGTAGAGCAGTGGTTGTGAGCAAGCTCCTCTTAGACCTCAGGGGAAGGGGTAAGCACATCTACACCAGCCTCAGTCCCACTTGCCATTCCTGGGCAACAGCTGCCAGGAAACTTCATGCAGTTCAGAGGGTGTCTGCATAGGTACAAGCCCTCCTGGCCCAGTCCTTCTCCATCCTTGTGTGGGTTTCAGCCCAAATCCTATCACCTAGATTAGGAGAGTCCTACTAAAGAATGACTTCTGGATATACAGTAATATAGTAACCAGTGAACTTGTATCAGGACAGATAGAATTAATTCCAATGGAAACAATAAATGTGCATTTGAAAGCTATATTACCCTCAGTTCTCCAGATTTCAAGTATTTACCTGTTAAGGGCAGCTGGCAAAAACACTCGGTTTATTTATGTTGGCTGAAACTCATAGCACAGGCAGAGCCACGCCATGGCGGCGGACCTAATCAAGAGATTGGGATGCCACTCAGTTTGACCTTCCTGCCCAGTGTTAAGGGGGTGGATCTCATGATGTTGCCAGGAACTCAAGGCCCACCCAGATGTGATGTAACTTCCTGTTATTAGAGTATAAATAAATCTGCTTGCGGTGCTGACACTCTCTGCATCTGTCTCTCCAGCAGAGGGCAGACGCCACACCCAGGCCCAGCTTTCACTCTATTTCTGTCTCAGTCTTGTGTTTTTTCATTTTTCCTTAAAACTCGTCACATTCTAATCAAGATTCATCAACCCCCGCGTTCTCTCACTCTGCGCTGGTCATAGGAAGAGAAAACGCACCTCCCTCCCATATTTACCAATTCTAATTATTTATTGAATGCAGTAAAATATAGCCAAGAGATCTTAGGAGACAGAATTGTTAAAAAAAAGTAAAGAAAAACAATGACAGGTGTTGCATATTTTGACCCAATTCATTATACTGTGGTCCTAGTTTTCAAATAATTAGCTACTGGGTTAATTCATGCGCGTTACAAAATTATATACAACAAGAACAGTTCTATGGTTATTAAACCATCAGAAGACCTGTGAAAGACAGGGTACTTTATCAGAATGAATTTTATTTAAAGTTTATCTGTTTTTTTTTTCAATTTAACTCCTGTGAAGTAAAGGATTGGGTTACTTTAGAGCTTATCATGTTTCTAGAGTAGCTTTCATTCACATTCAATCATTGAATATATACTCAGTGATTAATTTTTCTGAGACTAGGTAACCTTATTTGTCTAATAGGTTGACAATATACAATGAATAGAAATCGTGTAAAGTGAAAATCACAATAGGAGATTCTAACTGATAATCTAAAGGTATGTCTAAGCTAGAAGAGAAAACTAGAAAGTGGCTTGTCAGTGTGGACTGAGCGTCACCGTGTCTTCTAGTTAAAGTAACACCAAGAAATAAATTTAATTTTCATAGATGTACATTTCATCATCTGTGCTCTATCACATGTTTAGAAGCTAGAGTTCATATCATAATTCTTTATTTACTTTTTGGGGGAAAATATGGAGCTACAAAACTTCAAGGTTTTATCGCCCACAAAACACTGGGGCCTGGTTTAGATCACCATTCAGTCTGGAGCTGTTTCTGGCTGTTTTTCTCAAGAATCCACCTTAAATTGAGCTAGACTACAAAGGATGACATCAGTGCTATATTTAATGCAAAAACTGTCTTTTTTATATTTTTATTTATTTATTTGTTTTTTATTAATTGTCACCCAAGGATATTTTTCCCATTGATTTTTAGAGAGAGTGGAAGGGAAGGGCCAACACAAAGAGAAACATGGATGTGAGAGAGACACATCAATTGCTTGCCTCCGACACGCTCCCTGATTGGCACCGGGATCAAGTCTGCAACTAAGGTATGTGCCCTTGACCAGAATTGAACCCATGACCTTTCAATCCATTAGCCAACACTCTAACTACTGAGCAAAACTGGCTGGAGCTCTTTTTAAAAAAATTTATTTTAAGAAACATGAATGTATATTCATGAAACAAATAGACAGGACCTAATGTTATGCAGTTATATTTTATCTGAATTTCAATGAGTCATTCTATAAAACTGGCTAAATCTACAAGGTTCTAATTCATCATTCATACATTAGGCTTGTGAGTCAATATTTCTGAAAATGTATTGACGCAATTTATTTTAATTCTTCCCTATTCCCTCCTTCTAAGTAACAAAATGTGACTATCCTTTTAATTTTTCTGGCGAATTTTCCTAAGGTTTACAGAATATGAAAATATCTATCCCTTACCTCTGCTAAAAAGGATTTGACACAATTTTAACACTAAATGTATTAAAATCTTTAACATAAATAAAACAAATGGGGTCTTTGGAAAACAC